GGCAGTGAAGTGCAAGTCTGCCGTTAACCAAGAGCTTGTACAGCCCGAAACAAGCGGGTCACAGTGGAACAAGGAACTTACTTCAAAGCTCCAATCTATCGGCTTCACCGAGTCAGAAGCCGACCACTGTCTATTCATAAAATGAACAAAAGGAAACTGCGTTGCAGTTGTGGTATATGTGGATGACTTACTTATTACGGGTCCTAACGACGAAGAAATTTGTGAAGTCAAAAGCACCATAGATGAAGCCTTCACAGTCAAGGACCTCGGCCAAAAGATACTTCCTTGGAGTCGAGATAGCTAGGTCAAAAGAAGGGATCTACATCAGCAAAAAAAAAATACATTAAAGACATTTTACAAGATACAAATATGGATGATGCAAAAGGAAGCCACTTTCCCCTGCCTTCTAGACTAAAACTAAATGCAGAAGAAAGAGAAATCTTACCAGATCCGGCTAAGTACAGACATCTAATCGGCCGCTTGCTTTACCTCAACTTTACCAGACCCGACATAACATACTCCATCCAACATCTTAGTCAATTCATGCAACAGCCCAGACAGCTGCAGCTTGACGCCGCACTACATATTGTCAAGTATCTAAAGCAATATCTAGAGCAAGACATCTTCTTCCCGAGAAGGAATAACCTTAAAGTTCAAGCCTTTTGTGACTCGGACAGGGTATCGTGTCTGATGACCCACAAATCCCTCACGAGCTTCTATATCTTCCTCAGGCCTTCACTAATCTCCTGAAAAATAAAGAAACAAACTACAGTGAGCAAGTCTTTTGCAGAAGCTGAGTACAAAAGTATGTCATCTACAATATGTGAAGTTCAATGGATAACCTATCTCCTTCGAGATTTTTAAATAGTACATCACTTACTCGTAATACTGAACTGCGACAACAAAGCCGCTGAGCATATCGCAGCAAATTCGATTTTTCCCGAACAAATGAAACACCTCGACATCGATTGTCACATAGTTTGCAACCAGGTACAAAAGGGCTTCGTCGAAACGAAACATGTCACCTCGAGAGAACAGCTCGTCGATATGCTCACGAAACCTTTAAGAACCTCAGTACATCACCGACTTCTGTTCAAGATGAAGCACCTGCAACAAGAAAGCACAAAGGGTTAAAGAAGTGGTGGTGAGGAACTTAAAGAGCTGAAAGTGAACATGCTTTATCCTGAGGAGCGGGTGAAAAGAATTAAGTGTAAAAAAATGGAATAAGGCTGAAAGAAAATGAACCGGTGAACATCCTAGATCAAAACCCTAAAATGAAGGGTTTAGATTTTTTATTTTCAATTTAAAAGTTGGAGACAGCTGATGGTCCTAATTGAATCTAAAGACCACATTTTTCTTTTTCTATTTTACTCTGTGTATAAATTCCCAATGCTTCCGCACAATAAAAAAAAACAAAAAATTAAAAAATATTAAATACTCCTTATTCACCTGGTTGGTTTTATTTACGAACACTCTCTTTCTTTTGATATTTGACATAAAATGAAGTCTGAATCTCAATCTTCCACTGATTTAGATAATAAACATGGAAATGGCAACCAACTTAACGATTGCAGCATTTCGAAGCAAATATGGTCTTTGAGGTACACATATTCGGACAGAGACTTCGCGTCAGTGGTAGGGATTTTGTCCGCAAGACAAAATAAATTGAATCTCAATATCGAAAAGCTGAAGAAGGAAAAAGAGTTCATAAGAAAAATTTATGAATCCGAGAAGTTGGCGAAGATAGATATTCAAAAGGAGCTCAATGAATTAAAGAGTAAGTATTCGGATTTGAAAAGAATGAATTCCTGCTTAAACCAGGATAAGAGAATAGCATGCGAGGGAGAGACGAGAGCGGCGGAGAAATGCAATTTGTTAGAGGTCACTAAGGCAGATATTCAAGAGGAGCTCAACAAATTGAAACAAGAGTGTTCGGATTTGAGGAAAATGAATTCCTTCTTGAGCGCTGCTAAGCATGTTGCGTACGAGAGAGAGAAGATTGCGGAGGAGAGATGCAAGTTATTAGAGGTTACTAATGTTCGCATTCAAGAGGAGCTCAAGAAATGGAAGGATGAGTGTCTAGTTTCGAGGCAAATGAATGCTCGCTTGACTGAGGAAAAGAAAGTCGCGTGTGAGACAGAGCATCAAGCCGAGGAGAGGTGTAAGAAGTTGTTGGATATTTCGAAAGAAGTAGAGGAAGAGGACAAGAGGATTATAGTTGAACTAACGCGCAAAATTTTCGAAGTGGAAGGTAAGAAAGAGAAGGCTGAGAGTAAACTCAAGTTTTGGAAGACGAAGTTTGAGGGATTGGAAACGCGGGTTTTGCGCCTAGAAGAAGAATACGGACTGGTGATGAATACGACTGATGAAACTGATTGCCGTGGGAACCATATCGACTTGGAAGTGCATGCTGGTCCTTCTCGCATTTCTCCAGATAAAGCTATCGGCACTTTGGCGGGTGCAGGTATTAGTGAGTTACATTTTTGTGATAAATTTTTGTTAATTTGCTTTGTCAGGCTTGTTCCGTATTTCGTCTGCTTTTCTATATTTTGGACTAATTTTCTTCATGATTTGCTTTTTAAATTTGACATATTTGTTTTCGGTCTTTCTTAATATGACATGGATATGGAGATACACATTAATGTTGAAAGTGTTCGTGCAATTATAACGAGTGTAAAATGATAAACTTTAAATTTTATTCCTCTCGATTCTCAATAATACTTCTCTATCAAAAGAGGAGAAAAATATTTTGAGGGTGGGTTTTGGCATCAATAACTGACAGTGTTTATTTTAATCATTTGATGACTATGTATAAGTGAATATGACTGATGAAAGTGGGGCTGGTGGAACTGGTTGCTGTGGGAACAATATTGATTTGGAAGTGCATGCTGGCCCTCCTCGCATTTCTCCAGATGAAGCTATTAGCAATTTGGCGGGTGCAGGTACAAAAAAGTTTTATTTTTGTGATGGATTTTTGTTAATTTGCGTACTCAAACTCATTCCATATTTATTCTGCTTTTCTTTATTTCTGCACTAACTTTTTTCATGATCTGCTTTTTAAATTTGACATTTTTCTTTGTCGTTCTTGATATGACTTTGATATGGAGATACAATGTTGGATATGGTCGTGCAATCATAACAAGTATAAAATGATAAAAGAAATTGAAATTAAAAACAATTAAATGGTTGCTTTCTTAGGAAGTTCTTATTGTAATTTTTCCTTGTGAGTAGAATAAGTAGGTATATTTGAGTGTGGGCTTTGGGATCAATAACAAAGTGTCTGTTTTAATGGTTTAATGACTATGAATAAGTGGGATCCAATTGTTGTAAAATATGAGAGAAGATTGTATGGGTGAAAGAGAAGTTTGCTTTCTGAAGGAGGATGACTGACTCTTATAAAAAGTACATTATCCAATCTTCTTGTTTACTACATGTCAATTGTAACAATGTCAGCAAGGGTCGCAAAGAAATTGGAAGGCACTCAATCCACGTTTCTTTATGGAGACTAAAGGAGAGGAGGAGATACCATTTGGTCGTATGGGATGTGATAAAGAGACCATTAAGTGAGGGGGTGGGTTTAAGATTTATGTTGGAGATGAATAAGGCATTTCAAGGAAAGTGGATGTGGAGATTCATGAAGGAGAGAGATGTCCTTTGTAGAAGGGTTATGAGGGCAAAGTTTGGCACAATTGATAGAGGATAGTACTCCAAAGTATTGGTTAGACCGTCTGGTAAAGGAATGTGGAAAAATTGTATATGGGAAAAGACAAGTTTCAGGAGTGCGTACAATGGAAAATTGGAGTGGGAGTAGAATTGGGTTTTGGTCGGATTGTTGGCTTGAAGGTGGAGAGTTGAGAGACAAGTTTTTGTAGATTTACACTATA